GGGGGAGCGGGGAGGGAGGGGGAAAATTGAGGACCTAATGTCGGGGGTTTAAGTGGAGAGAAAATGTTTTGAGAATGATGTACAAATGCGCTTTACACAATTGATGTGTGTATGGATTGGGATAAGAGTTGTATGAGCCCCTAATAAAATATTTTTTTTTAATTTAAAAAAAATAGTATAGACTCTGGAAACAGGGTTGAATGGGATGATGGATGAACTGAGCCAAGCCCAGCTGGTAAGAGGGGCTCACATAGGTGCTAATTCTGTACTACTGCTGGTGGGGTGAAGTGACCTGGCTAAGGACCACCTCCGGGCCTCTGGGCAGGAGCCCCCACGTTCTTGGACACTCAGTAGTTGCTAGTTCTAGCTTTTGCCCCAAAGCAGACAAACTCTGCCCCGGCATGGCTGTGAATGCTCAGCCCCCAGCCCTGCCTTCTCAGTTCAGCCCCACCCACTCCCTCCGGACACCAGGCCTGAGCCAGGCCTCAGCCTGCCCTGGAGGCTCTCCCAGCTGTCCTGAGGTCCCCTCTGGGCTCTGCAGACATTCCCCCTGTCCACCCCTGGAGGCCTTGTGTGCCTCCTCTGGGCGCCAGTCCCTCCCCCTCCAGAGGTGTCCCCAGACAGCACCTCTGGGCTATTCTTTTTTCCCCATCAACTGTGGCATCAAATGTCAGCCAGGCTCTGCTCTGCACTGGGGGGTGGGGGGGAGGGGGGTGGCATGTGGCTAAGTGACTATGTGTGGATTAGGGAAGGGTCCTCTTCACCTCCCCCCCCACCTCCCCCACCCCTACAAACTGGTTAGCCAGGTTTGGTCGGGTTTGGTTTTACTGTCAGATTGTGCCTCAGTTTCTCCGACCTCCATCAAGGGGAGGCAGAAGGGCCAGGGGACGCGGGCAAGGCCCTCTGGGGGATGGGGACAAGTTGGGCAAGTGGCAGGGACCTCTCGGAGAGCTGACTTCCTTCTAGGTGGGCTCTGGAAGTAGCTTCTTAGGGGATCAGGGCGGTTGTGCCCAGCAGGCCCCGGAGAAGCCGTCTTCCTGTCCTCACTTGCCCTGCGTGAGCCGGGTGAGCTGGCAGGGAGCGGCGGGAGCGGGCTTTGGCGGGCCCTGACAGCTCAGCAGTGGCAGAGGCAGTGGTGGCGGTGGTGGCTGCAGCAGGGGCTATTCTGAGAGCTGGGAGGGGCTGGGGAGCTGGGACTGGAGGAGGGGATCAGCCGGGAGGAAGCAGTGGGGGTGGGGAGTGCCTCTGCGGAGGGGGTGGGTGAGAAGTGCCCATGGCATTGGGAGGGTTGTGTGGCTCCTGTGAGCTTGTTGCCACTGGGAGGGAGCAGACCCATGTGAGGTGTGCACAGGGATTGTTTTGGGTCTGCGTGCACGCCTTTGGGGACCCCAAGGACTAGCTGAGTGGACGAAGCACGCCTGTGTGGGTGGGTGAGTGTGAGCAAGTGTGCAGGCATGGAAAAGTGAGCCGGTGGAAGGGCACTGAAGGCAGTGTGGCAGCCAGTGGGAGGGGCAGGCGGGGAAGGAGGAGTAGGAGGGGGAGGGGAGAGGAGGGGGCGGAGACTAGGACTTTGGAAGCAAGCTTGGGGGAGGGGAGCAGAGGCCATAGCGGGTACACGCGGTGCCAAGGAAAGTGTGGGTTCCTTGTAATTGGGGGCATTTGCAAGTGTGCTTGTGAGTGGTGTGTGCATGGTGGGCATCATGAGAGCCGGCGGGGCACTCGGAAGGGAGGAGAGGTAGAAGCAACAACAGTAGTAATAACAACGGCTGGGACTTTTTGAGCACTTACTTGGAGGTCGGGTATTGTTATGAACTGAATGCTATTATGTGACCCCTATAGAACAGGGGCTTTGAGCAAAGAAGGTACGTAGTTACCAAGCATTACCGTCTCTAAAGGACTGGGTGAGCAGGAGTGAAGGTGCGAATGAAGAATGTGTGTCATCCTGCACCTGGGGGGTGTGAGTTTGTGTGTGGGCACGGGTCCCAGAGAAGACTTCAGGCAGCAGCTGTTGACACCAGGCAGGGCAGGGGCCAGAGAGAGCCCGAGTCAGGCTCCAAGGCATCTCTGCCAGCCTGGCCCCACGGTGGTGCCCTAAGTGCTGGGGCAGAGGGTGCCAAGACCCCAACTAAGGACCCTCTCAGCTATGGTATGAGCTCCAGCAGGCCCCAACCCACAGCATAGGCTGGGTTCAGGTTGAAGACCAGCTGCAGGCTTGCCAGGCCCTCAGGTCACCTGAGGGGGCCAGTCTCCAAAGTGGACTCCCTAAGCAGGGAGGGCCTGTGAGAGCTTGGGAGGGGGCGGAGCTGTGACTTCAGGTCCCTGAGGGCTGCCTGCTTGTAGGGAACCTGGGGGCCAGCCAACAGCTGGCATGCTCACCTTCAGGTTGTGACTAAGACAGATGGCTGTGCCAGGCATCTGCAGGCTGGGCATGCTGTCACCCTGGGGGACCACCCTCACCCTTGGCCCCACTCCTGGGAACCTAAGCTAGAAGGAAGGAGTATTTACTGGGACAAGGGATTTCGTCCTGGGCCCAGCCCTCCCCAGTACTCAGAGAATTGACATCTTCTGCCTTGGACAAGGGCACACTGCCTGTAAAGTAGACGGTCTGTTAAAAAAAAAAGCCTCGAAGTGGTGGATTGACACATGGCTGCAACAATGGCTCAGGCTCAACTAATGTGAAGACGGTGTGGGAGCAAGTAGTATTTCCTTTCATTACCTTGGGGGCTGCTCTGAGCCAGAACAGACTACTGGACCTAACCACCACAGCCCTGCGAACCAGTCTCTTTCTCTCCAGGCTGGGTGGTGGTGGGAGTGGTGTTGGGGGGTAGGGGGTGGGAGTGGGGGCATGTCAGAGCTTGGGATTTTAGTCCTGGCCAGGCCAGCTGACCAAGTCACTTCCCAACTCAGAACCTCAGATGGCCAACCTCATTGGCAAATAAGCAATACTACGCTTAAGCAGCACAAGGTGTGGTTGACCAAACAAGTGGCCTGGGCAAGCAAGGGTAAGTAGTCATTTGAGCTGGGCTTTGAAGGGAAAAGCTCAGATGAACAGTTTGAGAAGGGGAGAGAGTGTCCTAGGCAGAGGGTATACCCTGAGCAAAGGCTGGGGTGTGGAGTGGTAGCTGGAAGCCTAGCCCAGAACCCCGTGGAATGAGGTCATGAGCCGCCCCACCTCTCAACCAGCCTCTCCCTTCCAAGGTCATGTGATGTTCAGATGAACATCGACCTCCTCCACCAGGCCTTCTGTCTTCCTGCACTTTGCTTAGTATCCTACGCAGAGGAAGGTACCAAAGGGGTTCAATTAGTATTTGTCAAATGAGTGGGCAGCACCCTCTCCAGACACCACCCTTGTTGCAACTACCCCTGGGAGAGCCTCCTAAGAGTGCCAGAGGAGTGTCCCCGGTACATCACCTGGCAACTTGTTAGGAAGGTAGTCTCTGACCGCAAACCAGACCTACTTTGGTGATTCTGCTTGTAGATGGGGAAGCTGAAATAGAGGTTAAGCCTGACCTACCCCACCGCTGCCACAGAATCGGTTTTGACACCCAGTGATCCCCCTCCCCGCTCGGGACAGACTAGAATTGCAGACAAACAGACTAGGGTTTTTGAGGCTATAAATCTTTACAGGAAGCCCTGATGGCATAGTGGGTTACACGCATTGGGCTGCTAACCTCAAGGTCATCAGCTTGAAACCACCAGTTGCTCCGCAGAATCAAGATGAGACTTCCTACTCCGTGAACAGTTAGTCTCAGAAACCCAGAGGGGCAGTTCTACTCTGTCCTATAGAGTCCCTCTGGGTGGGAATTAACTCCTCAATTTTCTTTGAAGAGCGACTGTCCTTGTGGTTAGCAGTCCACTACTTAACACACTGTGCCACTAGGGTCCCTAAGCCCGACCTACAACCTAGGTATTCCGGACCCTTCTTCCACCCCACCGCAGCCCAGGGCCGGAAGGCGAGCGCTATCATCCATCCAGTCAGGTTTCCCAGTCCAGAAACAAGGGGCGGGGCATGTTTCCCGGGGAGGTAGAAGGCGGGACCAGGACTCTGAGCCCCGCCCCATTCCGTTGCCCCGGGAAACCCCTGGTTGTAACAATAACCCGCTGACGCGCTTCTGGGAGGGATCTTGTTGAGTCCCTGGGAGGGGCAACCCTACCTCGGGCCAATGGGAG